GGCCCTGTGTAGCAACGTGGATGGAACTGGAGAGTGTGATGCTAAGTGAAATAAGCCATACAGAGAAAGGCAGATACCATATGTTTTCACTCTTATGTGGATCCTTAGTAACAGAAACCCATGGGGAGGGAAGGAAAAAAAAGAGGTTAGAGTGGAGAGCCAAAGCTGAAGAGACTCTTTTAAAACTGAGAACCTTGAGGGTTGATGGGTGTGGGAGGGAGGGGAGGGTCGGTGATGGGTATTGAAGAGGGCATCTTTTGGGATGAGCACTGGGTGTTGTATGGAAACCAACTTCACAATAAATTTCATATATTAAAAAAAAGAGGAAAATAAAATAAAAAAAAAATAAAACAGGTCTTGGATCAAAGTAGATGGGTCTTGTTTTCTTATTCATTCTGTTGGCCTCAATCTTTGACTAGAGCATTTAGTCCATTGACATGTAGAGTGAGTACTGAAAGATATGAATTCATTCATTGTGTTGCCTGTAGAGTTTGAGTTTCTGGTGGTGTTCTCTGGTCTTTGTTGCTTTGTCTTTTTGCTTTGGTTCACCTTTTCCCCTGAGAGAGTCCCCACACAATTCTGCCTCCAGGCTGATTGCTTTTCACAAACGCCTTATATAGTTTTCCTGTGTCTGGGAAACACTTTATCTCTCTTTCTATTTTGAACAAACAGCCTTGCTGAATAAAGAGCTTTGGGCTGCTTGCTTTCCAGTTCACAGCACATTGAATATATCCCACTCCTTCTGTCCTGCCAATTTCCTGTGGATAGGTCTGCTGAGAACCTGATCTGGTTGCACTTGGGTTCAGGGCTTTTTCCTTTGCTGCTTTCACAATTCTTTCCCTTGTCTGTTTATTTTGTGAATTTGAATATGAAATGACTTGTTGATAGTTGGTTTTCCTTGAATCTGATGGGAGTTCTCTGTGCTTCCTGGGTTTTGATGTCCATCTTTCCTCAGGGTAGGAAGTATTTCTGGTATGATTTCCTCATAAACCTTCTTCTGTGTTTCTCGTCTTCATTTTCTGGCACCTATTATTGGATGTTGTTCCTTTTGAATGAGTCACCACGTTTCTAAATCATATCATGCTCTTTTGCCTTAGTTTCCCTCTTTTTTTCCTGCTTTATTAACCTCCATAAGTTTGTCCTCTGCATCATCGTTCCCTGCTGCATCTATCTCATCCATCCTGCCACCGTGTAAACCATAAAGAGATTGCATCTCAGTTCTAGCATTTTAATTTCATGATAGCAAATTTACTTCTTTTATCTCCACAGAAAGGGAATCTATGCTTTTTTTTCAAACCCAGCTAATATTCATTCGGACTCTAAATTCTGGTTCAGACATTTGCTTGTTTGTCAGAGCATTTCTCTGTCCTTTTCAGTGAATTCTTCATTTTGGAAGAAGTAAAGGAATTATTTAAAAAATTTAAAAATTTTAAACAACACACAAAAAAAATCAAATAACAAGGATGATGCTAGATCCTGGGTGTGGTCCACAGTTTGTTAAGCAAGCTTGACAGAGTAGAGAAAAGGGGAAAGAAGAGGGAAAAAGGAAGCCAAAAAAGTAGGGAAAACATTTACCCCCCCCCCCCCCCCACGATCAATTAAAACATGCAACCTTCTTTTTGTCTCCAGCAGCCATCCACTCCCCACTTCTACACTGTGACTAAAGCCATGAGGTGGCACCCTCCTTCACCTCTGAATTTCTCTCAGAAGGGGCCATGTTTCAAATCCTCATTTCTGAGGTCCACGCCAGTGGAGTGGACCCACTCCAACCCTCCTCAGATGGGAGGGATGCTCTCCAATAATGGCCAGGTGCTCAGCCACCCTGGGAACATTCAGTGGGACCACCTGCTGCAGATGCCCAGAGCCTACAGCCGGGTACCAGTAACCACGTGCCCCCCACAGACTTTCACCCAGTCATGTAGCAGCAGCATCTCGGGATTAGTAGGTAAAATCACAACACACATCTGGTGCCAGACTTCACTGCCCTGTGCCTTTGTTCTAAAACCAACAAACAGCTGTTCTCCGGGTCACTGGGACACCATCAACACCTACCTGTGGGGAGGCCACCATGACCTCTACCAAATGTTCTCTTTCTTAGAACTGCTTCCCATCGTGGCCCCTCTGGAGCCTCTTGGACCTCCTACTCCTGGGGATTTTCCCTTCCCCACCAGATCACCACAAAATTTTTTTGAGAGAACTTTCAGGGGTTTCCAACTCTGGGCACCACTTGTTTATGAGACCCTTCTTCTTAATGGTATTGAGGAGTCTACTTTCCTTTCCTTTCTTGTTCAGTCCCTTTTGGTGTTTCACTCTTTCTCTTTCTCTTTCTACAGTTGCCTTTTCTGGGAGTGTTTTTTCCTGTATTCTACCCCCCTGTTTTAAAATCTCCTCTTCACAAGCAAAACAAGTCCCTATCCTCCATGGCTTCTCTCTCTCTCCCAAATCAATGCCTCATCTGTAGACCTGTATCTGCCAAGTTCTGTGGCCTCAGGTTACTTCACAGATTCATTATGTTGATCCTCAGATAAATTTTCTAGTGTGTGCAAAATGCTTTGTGCTGATCTGGCTCTGAAATTCAGGAATGAGAGAAGCAGAGAAAACTTCCAAATGCTACTCCACCATCTTGGTCCTCTCCTCTGGGAGAGAAGGGATTGTGAGGATTAACTGAGCTTCTTTGTGGTGTGCTTCCTGTATCCTCAGATTAATTAAAGTACAGTCTAAACTCATGGGTGTTTGGGAAAACTGGGAGAGGCATATGTCCCTTTGGGCCGGCAAATGGCTTTTATATGGACAATGTGAGATGGCAGAGTGAGGAGGTTGCCTGGGAGATCACACACTCCTGACCACCAGAACCACATGGTGAACATGGAAATGTGCTTTGGGAAGCCTTCATGGATGTAGCAGAAAGTACCAAATAAACTAAAACAAGCAGATAGGGGACACATCCCCTGCTATGCACTGTATCCATAAAGGAATTTTGCTCAGGAAAACCAGAAAGGCCTCAAGCCTTGGTTTGCCATAATTTCTGTGGTCATAAAGAATGAATCCAGCGAGAAGGTATGGGGTGTTTGACTGGCAGGAGGAAGAATATTTTGGGGAATTTCCAAGGAAAAAGGAGGAGAGATGTGTTGAGGTGAGACCAAGACTAGCTCTGAAATCATCTTGAACTGTTACCAAAAGTGAAACTCACACCTGTAGTCTTAGAAGAAGTATGGAACGAAGCACCTGGGGTGCCTGGTGGCTCAGTCCTGAGCATCCACTCTCAGTTTCAGCTCAGGTCATGATCTCATGGTTTGTGGGTTTGAGCCCTGCATCAAGCTCTGCACTGATGTGTGGAGCCTGCTTGGGGTTCCCTCTATCACTGCCTCTCCCCTGCTCATGACTCATCCAATAAATAAATAAATTTTAAAATAATAAAGAAAAGAAATAACAAATAGTGTTTTCCAAGAAGTGGACTGGTGCTTTATAGAAATATGACAGAACAGAAAAACTTATTATAAGCCACCAACCCAGCAAGCAGTTCAGCTGGGAGAGGAGTGGTATGTGCAGTAAGTATGAAGGTCTGGGCAGGTGGAGGTGAAGTGGCAGCAGTTTCATGAAAGAGAGAACTGGTTATTCCAGCAAATATCGCGCCGCATTGAAGTTTGCCAAGAATTTGCTGTAGATATATCCAGCCACAAACAGTTCTCTTCTGTGTTGGAATCTGTCTTTCAATTCTCTGGCATTTCACTTAGTTGGTTTCTGAGAGTCTGGCTTTTCAGACAATCTTTTGTTCTTCAGTGGGTAGCTGACAAACAACTTGAGTCTCTAGCAAAAATGCCCTTCATCATTCATCTGGAAAATTCTATAAGCATCTCCATCATTGCTACCTAACATGAAGAACCAATCTTTGTAACAAACCATAGGTAAGGTGATTGCCATGCATGGTCCTAAAAGCAAAATAAGTGGTAGAAGCAACAAAGGAGAGGATCCACCAATCTAGAAGGAATCTGGATTTCACCGGGACAAGTGAGAGAAATTTGGGGTCATCTTCTTAGAAGACCATCAATACCTTTCACTTGAGTTCACAAATTGAGAATGTGTCCCTCCCTGTAAGTCAATCAAACATCTACCAATCACCACCAGTGAATCCTGAGATTATACCCTTTCATTCCTGAGAGTCTGAGACAGAATCGAGAGTGCTTCAAGCTTGGTAGGCTGAGTTCTGGGGTGAGGGTACTTGGGGCCAGCAGAAAATGTAAATAAGGAGATCTCTTTATTCAGGTTAATCTTCCATAAACAGGTGAGAGAAAATAGGAAAAACCATCTGCAGTGCTTTCATGATCAAGTCAACTATCTTATACTCATTCTCATCTCTGTGTTTTTGCAGCTTTACAGCATATAATGCTCTTTATCAGCCAATTCCTCCTTTCTATTTGTTCTTTATATATGCTGCTTTCAAGTTTATCACTCAGCTTTTGATTTTGTCTTCAAACTCTTTCTTATTTGTAATTTTCTCTCTGGCTCTTTTAAATAAAATTTCTTGCATTTCTTGCATTTCTAAATTCGTTGTCAGCCTTTTTTTGGTACATCTTATAGTACTTGGCATTCTTCTTCATTCTCAGCAATGTCATGGATTAGAAGCGACAGTTGATTTTCTGGGCCTCCTGCTCAGCTCCTGTCCATGATTATTGTTGAACCATGAGTAGCGATCTGTTTTACCAAACGCCACCAACTCTGAGATACCTTTATTTCCTCTAAGTAATCACGGAAATTGATGCCATCCAAGTCATCTTTCCGGGTGAATAAGAGAATCATGTATCTCCTAGCTCTGAGTCCAAACATTTGCAGGATCTTCTCCGTGGCCTTTTGCCCTTCCTTCGTGTACCGGCCCAGTGGGACCACCAGGAGCAGAGCATGAGGCCCTGGGGAGGTCAGGAAGATGCAGTGAG